AACTTTTTTTTTTTATTTCAATATAGATTTCAGGATAGACAGAATCTTTCCAACCCGAGCTTTCCGGATTTCCGGTTCGTCATCCGCACCGCACAAAAATCGACATAATGTCTATTTTGTTTTTGTTGCATTTGTTCAATGAATTCTGAGAGCGGCGAAAAATTTAGCGACACTTTTATCTACACATTTTTGATCAAAAAATTGATCCTAAGCGTAGAAACTAGCACGAGAAATAGAAAATTAAAAAAATGTATTTTCCTTAGCCATCATATGAATTTAAGGCGTATTTTTTCATGTCACAAGATGGCAAGCGAGAAGTTTATCCAGTGGCGGATAAAGCAGGCGCAGGCCCCTAGCAAATTGTTTCAAACAGCCCTTGGTATGCCATAGTCAAATCCGACGGCGCTATTCAAAATATAGATTGAAGTCCTCGAACAAAATTATTCTAAAACCAAGATCGGGCATACTTATCTGCGTAATGTCTGGAAATCTGCATAATAAAAAAACTTGAATGCGTCTCCCTCGCTGTTCCTCCTCCGTTTCTTAGCCGAGAAACGTCTCAATCTTCAGAACAGCTACTACTCGATTAGGGGAAGTGGTACAGATTGAAGAGGATTAAATGATACCCTAAAAACTAACTATTATGAATCCAACAATTGTTGTAATTTCAGAGTTCGGCCATATTGCTCACTAGTTTGCACCAAGCATTGCTTAAAATGGAAAATAAAAGTCAATGGGTCGAGGGTCGTGGACTCGATTCCCACACGGGACAAGTATTTTCGTGATCCACAGATATGGTTTAGGATCTAGGTTTTGGTAAATAACCTAACAAACATCATTAACAAAATTATTCACATGTTGTGCCGACCTCACACAGGCAGGATAAAGGCAAGAGAAAGAAGAAGAAGGTGTTGAGGCAGGAGAATTAAGATGTTGAGATTTTAACGTCGTAGGGTGAATGGTCATAAGCCATTTAGTTGAGTTATTGTCTGGGCGCTTTATCTTGAGGCGTAGCTTCGAAACGCGTAGCGATCATCATTCTTGTCACTACTAGGAGTTCGTCGAATGATTGGCATATCCTTAAAACCCGCAATAATTTTCGCTCTTCCGAATTATGTGACCTTTTCACCAACGTCGCAAAGGCATTCGATAAAGGGGAAATGTGTTCACTATGTAACGTATGCCCGTAGTCTCAACCTTGCAATTTCGTTTTGGACTAAATCGTTTACAATGGTTTTGAATAGCCTACGTAAGCAAACAGCTGTTTGACAAGCCCGCCCATTTAGCACGGATTCTCCCGCGCAATGCAAAACAATAAAATCTATGCACGAATAGATGACAAAAACAAAATACAAACACACGAAAAATCTCTGGGCATTTGTGATAGTGATTACAGACGCTTTGGTGGTTGAAAAACTTCTGTTGGGAATCGTATTTTCGTAAGGTTTTCCAGTTAGGTGGGTCAAAGTAAGAGTTGCAGTATTATAACTGTTTTGTTTTAAATAATAATGTAATTAAATTTGAAAATTATTATTTTGCTCGTATATTTTTACGCTATTGGCTCCAAAGAGAATGTAATCACTACGTTGATTGGCTCTATAAGAACACAACACACCTATCTCCGAAAATAGAAATAGATGCTACATTTTCTTACACAGATTAAATATGATTTTTAATTTTTGGATAACATACACAGGATGTTATATTTAAAGCTTTTTATAAGGGAATAAATTACTAGAGATTATTATTTGATTAATTAGATGTTCGCTTAACGTGACGAATATGTTAAGATAATCTGTCCAAATGGATTTTAAATTTATTGTCGAGTAAGTAATTAAGATAATAGTTAACGACGAAATGTTCATTTCGTACATTTACATGTTTATTTCGTGATTTAATTTAAGTTCACTCTCGGGATGGATAGATAAAAGTAAATCGAAGGCAAATAAATAACGATCCCATAAAATTATTCCAATTTTTTATCATCCAAGAAGGGTTCTTTTATTTTTGACCGATAATACTAGATGAAATGAAACTAAGACTTGTGCTTAAATATGATTGCGTCTTTATATTTAGATGGGTAGAAAAATTAGACTTATGTTAATAAGAAAAATTAGATCTCTGTGCTCATGGAATATACCTACCATATCGAGGGGCATAACCACTCCGAAAAACTCGAGAGGTTTTCAGCCTGGCAATGTTGTGTTATGTACTAAGTATGGACTGAAAAATTTTCAAATAGTTTTAGTGCTACATGATTGTCGTACATTAAAACAAATTCTAGTTACATAGTATTCGTTACCAACACAATTTTGTTAATAATAATTTACAATGTATAAATGTTATGAGAGAAATGTTATCGGACGTTACTTTATAAGTTGAAAGAGCACTGCAATGATTATATCACTGAAGGATCGGTGTCCACGGTGATTGTTTTAATTTTTTGTATTGCAATGATATTATTTATTATGATTCTAATCAATGGAATGTTTGGACGTCGGTTCTATAATTTATATCATCTCTTTGCTGTGTTATCATCTATTGTTTCGAGCATTCGGCCCGTTGGGCGGTCAGCCCTCAACACTAAATTGCCGCATGGAGATTTTTCACCGTGTTCAATTTGGGATATAAACAAATTAAACACTAAAACACGCACACCAAGCAATCTTAAGTTTTCAATCGTGGTACACCTACAAAATCGACATTACTAAAGCGACAATTTTATCAGGCGCTAGTAAAGAAACTGAACAAAAAAATAAATAAAAAATAACATATACAACCGTCTACGGATAAGGGGTGTCTAAAGTTCAACGAACAGAAACATAGCCCTGATTTGCTAAAGAGTTATTTTCAACTCATAGGTATTAATTTATAGAAATAAACCAAAAATTTGGTCTGGTTTGTTTTCATGTAGAAACTCAATTTTATGACAAAGGCGAAATTAATTACATGACACCCGGTTTCTGCAACACTGATCATAGTAGAAGTTTTTTGGCCAGTGGTAGGGCCACGAATCAGTCCGCTGATGCACGAATGGGCAGGTCCGTCCGTGAAAGTACGCTTATTACGCTTCTGCGTTTCGTCTGGTGACTGAGGTACCCGGGGCCCACTTTATTAAAAGGTGGCAACGCCTTTGCAAACTTATGGGTGTTGCAAATGTTTATGGGCGGAGGTTAACACTTACCATCAGGTGAACTGCCAGCTCGCTTGCCATGTTATCACATAAAAAAAAGTAATCTGCTGTCAAATGGCTTTTTAAATGTTATTTGAGTTGACAAAAGGATTGTTAAACTCTTTTGAATTGATCAGAATGATCTTAATGATTAGAATGATCAATTCAAAGAAAAAATAGTTTAACATTTTGTCAGCTGATTACTTAACTTCTACGATGATCATTTTTACGACCAAATATAATGAAAAATTTATCAAAAAACATCAAGCTCAAATTTCACATTAAAAGAAACCGGGCGTGAGTCTCATATTTTAAAGAGTTCTTTAGCATATATTTAAAATTTTTGTCATATATAGTACGTTGCTGGGGCTGTAGTAAGTAAATATTTTTTATCTTTTTCTTTGTGTGCCGCCAAATTTTGAAATCTTTAAATATTATTTATAATACTTATAATATTTAGAAGGGTTTATATAGTACGTTGCTGGGGCAAATTATCTCACGGTTGGAATATTCTGGCTTAATGAATCAAAGAGGTATTTCATGGAAATAAACTAATAAAAAAATTAAAGTCAATAAAAATTATGGGCCTATTTCAAAAGCTTTGTGGAATCGAAAACAATTCTAAGCGTTCCTTAATTGCCTTTAATACAATATTTCAAAAAAATACAGACATGATGGTAAAATATATTAGACAAAATAATAAACCTTCACATTAACATGACTCCACCACTTTTATTTCGACATCATATTTATTTTAAATTTTCTACTTACAGTAGAAACTACTTTGCAGAGTGTATCCTATTTTTTGAAAAAGAGTAGAGATAGGAAGATGAATGTTAGATTCTATTATGTGGATTTTATCCAAAATATGACGAAGGTGATTGGATAAATTTTTTCACTTATTCACTTTAGTGACGTAAAGTTAGAAGTGTCCACCACTAGAATATACATGCTGTAGAATGGAGACTGTGTATAGGTGTTCACTAAAGTTGTCTTTTGACTTGATGGAGAGACGTTCTACAGTATCATCAGCAATGGATTTAATAATTAACAGGGCTTCATCTAACATTGGACAGTTGCTGTTGATGATTATGGTGACATAGTTACCTTAACGCCGTGGTTGGGGAAATGGGGACCACACTTAGGGACATGGTTTTAGTTTCATTTAGGGACTAGACTCCGTCTACGAGCTTAACTAGTCAAGACTTTGTCATGAAGTATTTGTGGGATGTTAACGTTCTCTCGTTATGACTATGAGATTTTGGGACTTGCTGCAGTGTTGGCTCTCCTGGCTTCCATGGCTTCTGGGCAGCGAACTCGCGGGATACCGTTGCCCATTCAAAAGGAAACGAATAAGAAAGCGCGCTTTTGTTCCAGAGCGAGAGAGGAGGTTGCCCTCTAATGAAGGGCTGCTGAGACAGTCAACGCTGGTGGCGATGCGTGGTGCAAAACCTTTCCAGTGGTCCAGACATAAGCGCCCTGATTGGAACATCCAGGCGTTCGTAGCTGGTGCGAGTCTGACGTAGCCCCTCAGTTGGCCACATAAGGGCGGGTATGTATAGGCATTTCCGCAACGTATATAAAAATTTAATAGGTAGTATTATACAATTACATTAAATCATTTCTTGATCCGTAAATAAAAAAAAAAGACGGCGGTCAACGGCACACTCGGCGTTTTAGGGTTAGTTCTCACGTCGATGACGCGTTAGGCCATTGAAATCGCGACGTGCAACATGTCGATGTGTAGTATATAAACCGTGAGCAGTGGGGCAGGAAGCACAAGCCTCCTCTCTCATTTCATTAAAATAAATTCAATAATTTTTTAATAATGAGAAATCTTATCTCATCTGTCATAGCGATTTTGGCGGTAAATGGTAAGTTATTCAAACTTTTTTTGGCAGTGGTTTTATCAACTTAATGGTTTTATAATTAATTTTATCAGAGAAAAATTTACGAGATAATTATTTGAACAGTTTAAAAGTGTGTATTCTTGATTAAAAAAAATATCACGAATACTTAACGAAGTATTTATATAATTATCATATTCAATTTTAAAAACGTGTTCTAAACATTATTGAGAGAAAAACATTGACAATAAATGAAACCAGGAATACATCAAAGTATGATACATTTAAATACACATCGGGCGTTTTATTTACAAAAATAATTAATGTAAGTATAAACATAATCCAAGCATTTTATATTTTAAAATGCAATTTTTAGGCATAATTTTTAAACTCATCTCTGAATAAATTTAATTATTGTACTACAATACAGGTATTTATTTTTTTAATTATATTATGATAATTCAATTTGCTTTAAGTTGTAAACCTAGATCGTGGGTATTTTTCAACGTGTATAAAATTTAGGTCGCTTTGCCTTAAGGCCTCGTGGCCAATGCTGCAATTAATTATAAACACAAAAAAGTTACAAAATAAAGTGTCTGAATAAACTAAACCAAACACTATTCGATGCCGTAGTTGTTTTCTACGTTCAATCGCTTGTTCGATCGCGAAAACATCCGACCAAAACAATCGGATACTTGGTTAAACAACGATCATGGCCTCAAGACAGATTTTGACGGCATCAACATATCAGGGACAGCATTAAGGAATTATTTTTGTTGGTGTAGAATATATTATACTATCGGTCGTTTTTGTGTAAAAAAATACATTTTCATTATGTGACCTGCATAATATACATTCTGTCCCCGATAACAAGAAAGATCCTACAAAAAGTAAATACGGAGAAAAAAATAATTTAGGTTGTAAAACGGGAAACCGCATGCTATGATTTAGTTATTGTATTTATCAATATTCTGTGAATGCACAATTTTTCGGGCCATATCTCGTCTTAATTTAGTATTGTAAAATTTTAATATTCATAAATATTTTTTTTATTTTTTAAAAAAGCGTTTCTTTTTAGCACTTTTTTATTAAAAATATTTTTTACATGTACCTAATGATTAGGTACACGTAAAAAATATTCCTTTCTCAACTATTATTAATTTCTATTACTTTGTATCCCCATAAGTATACTTATGGGGATACAAAGTAATATTGGTAAATTAACATTAATTATGTTTTAAAACTCATGATGGGCATAATAGAGATCAAAATACATTTGAGAGTACTAATGCGCAATGTTAACTCAGTATTACTTAATAATAATACAGATCACGAAGTTGCAATTTTAACCTTAAAATGTAGGTCCAACAATCCACGCAAAGGTCGGCAGTATTTGCGATTTCCATCTCGTATAATGCATTTATCATGTGTGATAATTGATTTCAGAAAATCAGGAGTACAAGCAAATTGTCACGAACTTATCTAAAATAGACGATAAAAATTGACACACGTAAGCGAGATTTCTTATATAAGATATAAACGATTCATGATTTTTTATATTTGATCTATTTATAGTTTAGGGTAGCTATAAGAGAAGCTATGAATTCGGGATAACGACGAAAATAAAAACGACACTTTCGTCTAATCGTTGGGCCCGATAAATTTGATTCTACCTCGGAATTTAGCACAATTAAAATTTTACGCTCTAAAAATTTCTTTCTTAATATATAAGCGTATAGATACACCAATTAAATATAAAAAATAGATAGGTATGTATCACACATAATATGTGTGATTAACGGATATATATATATATAAGTACACACATTAATACATATTTTATTATATTCTTAACAATTATATATTTTTATCACTTACACAGTAGAAAAGCAAAACATAACAGTATCAATATTATTGTCTAAATGAAGAAACGTGTTACTTTATTTTTATTCAGTTATTAATGAAATGCAAATCGGCCTTTTTCCAAATCTTACGCATACTGCCAGAAAAGTCCCCTGTAAAATTAAAAAGAAAAATATGCCAACTTCCGGTTTTTTAGACCGGAAGCAATAATCAGTCTTAAAATAAGCGTATTAACGTAAAGCATAAGTATATTTCAATTTAAGAGTCAAAGTTTTGAAGCTTATTTTTTGTGTTTAAACACTAAAAAGCAACTTAACTGTATCATAAAATATCAAGTTTGCATTAAATCTGGGTGTGTAACAGAATAAAAGTATCATTAATAAAAGAATTATTTTTTAAATTTTGGTAGCTTATTCGATGTTAGGAATGAGAATATGTAATCAATACTTAGTTGTCGCTGTTTTATATTTTAAATATATAATAGTGGGCAATGCCTACTAAGTTTGAAGATTAATTTTTCTTTACAACATCAAGAGTGCCATATTTAATATGGGATTGTTTAAAAAAAAATGATTAGATCGTATTTATGTTGGTAATGGACTTTGATCAAATATCTTCTTACATTTGAACGTTGTACATTGATCCGATTTAAAACGGTACGTATTTACCGACGCTACGCAAATTGGCCGTTGCTGTTTACAAATACGTATGATCACTAGCTAACAACCACGTAAACGCATTCCCCGCAAGATACGAGCGCAAATAACTATCATTGTGAATGAGATGCATAGTTTATTGACAGTTAGGCACAATGCCCGTGTAGTTACTATCATGCATAGATTTTCTAAGCGGTTGTCTATTAGACTTCGTTGAAAATTCAGTCGAATAGATATAACTGTCAGAATAAAGAATCAAGACATAAGGAACGGCGCTGCATACATTTGTATAATTCGACGGGCATTGTGATTTATAGATTCCTAGCTAACCGCTGACAAAAGAAAATTATAAATCAGCGACGATAGCTTAGGTTTATTGGCGCGTTTTAGCGCTTAATAAGAGCATTCGAAAACTTGGCACGTACCCATTGTTGTCAGTACGGGTACAAATTGCGGTCAGCTGATTTGTGTCTTTATCGGGCAACTTAAATGGCCACTTTAAGCAAATAACATGCAATTAATTATTTTCAATCTAATTAGCACTTCGATTTGCATAAATTTATTTAAACAAAAAAGAATTGTCTTCGATGTGCTGAAGAAATGCCTTGTTAGAAAAGTTTATCGTTCTTTTTGCAGCAATAGATTATTGATTTTTAATATATTATATAAAAAAAGCAACAAAGGTAAAAGATTCAATATAAATATGAAATGTTATAGAGTTTTCTACGAAAATGTATTCATAGTTAATAACCGCCATTGAATTGTTAATGATTTATTAAGACGGTCTCGAAATTCAAGCACTGTTGAAACGAAAATTGAAAATAACAGAATATCACGACATCGCAAAATCGTAGTTACGGAGACAACGAAAATTTTTCCACATAAAACGTTACTAGATACAGGGTCCCATACAACATTTGATTACAACCGGCATATTTAAAACCCGTGCTAATATGGCAACCTTTTAGGGCACGGGCGCCGGTTACCTCACTCAATAGGCGATACGAAGAAGTACAAATGTTTCTTAATTACGTCGTTCCGTGAGGCTGTGGCACTCGGGCGCACAAAGGTGCTACACCAAATACCATATATACCTATCGTATTTTCATTCTGTTCCCATTCAGTGCCACTCGTTTTCGGATGGGGCTATCGGGCTTCCGACCAGCGGCGGTGGGCAGTACTCCACCCGGCATGCGGCGGCCGACAGCAGTCGCCTATTGCGATCGCCGCCCGCCAAGCGATACCCATCTCAATCCCCGCGATGGAGCTGGTCGGCTACCAGAACCCGCTGCCGGGGCCCCTGACCATAAGTAACAACGGACACTCGGGTAAGTTGGCACACGAATTGGTCAAACGATTTGACAACTCACTCACATTTAAACATATTAAGTCGGAGTATTTACGATGAGGTTGCATTTAGAAGTGATGACGTTGTCTATGGTCGGGAAATGCAGTAGTCTATGTTTTTTTATTAAATTCACAGTACCAATAGGTCACGACTGGGCAGATGACTTGGTCACAGCGGAGTGTAAGGACCGCAGACCCGTTCCAATGGGGGCTCCGCCAGTAATTGAAATTGTAATTTTTACACTATTCTACAGATACAACAATTTCTCTTTCACCGTCAACCGGTGATCGTATCCACAACACAGGGCATAGTAGCTTCTGACACGATCACCCGACCTATTATGACGTACATGCAGTCGTATTTAGCGAGTCTATTGTCACCGGAACAATAACTGGACAGAGAACGACTAAAACTGATGTCAAAGCGCCCGCCGTACACAGCTATCGCCACTAGTCCATTAAATTGTGGTTGAAAGTTTATTTCAGTGGACGATAAAAAATTCAATATATACTATCTTCTATATTCACTTGACGGCTACACCCGGCTAGACCCGTTCTTCGCCCATATACACATAAATTATATATATATTTTTATACATCAACTAACAACCATCATTACAGGCAATACCTAATGCGATAAGGATAACTAAACACTAAGGAGATGGAATGCAGCCAGTGTTGACTCCTTCAATTGAACAAATCTGATTGATTAGCTACTGTATTAAGTGTATCGTGTAAAATGTAATAAATTAGCTAGGTACATATAAAAGCGTCCGCCGCCGCCTAATCTCAAAAATCCTTCTACGCATAGCCTCATCTGCTGCAGTGATAGTCAAAGCGAAAAGCTAGTGGTTTACAATGTCACGTTATACAGCTCTTAGCTGTTCACAAGACTGCGATGAGCACGATGACAAAATTCGTTTTAGTGGCGCTGACGATCCCGAAGTACTCCTCCGAAGAGGAGAAGAAGGGCTTCCGTCTGCCGTACATCTTCGGCGGGCCCCTCGACAACGAGTACGAGATCGAGAGCTTCCACTTCCACTGGGGGGACAAGAACAACCGCGGCTCCGAGCACACCCTCAACGACATGCGCCTCCCCTTGGAGATGCACATCATCCACAGGAACAAGAAGTACAGGAACCTTGCTGAGGCCCTGCAGCATCCCGACGGCCTCTGCGTGCTCGCTTTCTTCTATCAGGTATACTAACTTGGAATTATCTAAAGTAAAGTAACAGCCTATAAAGGTCCTACTGCTTGGCAAATGCCTCCTCACTAAAGAGGTGTCATTGGTGCCGGCACCGTGGATTCAACTCAGGTTGCTCGAGTAAATGTAATTAAAGGCGAGCGCCTGGACACTGAGCTATCACGGCTCTAATGGATGGAATTAACTATTAACTAAAAATTGTCAATGCGAGCGTTTGACATGACCGTGACTAGGTTGTCTTGAACGTAACAAATTATATCGTGTCAAACGTATTTAATATTAACATATAGAGACACGTTCACAACTCTATAAATCTCGTCCACAGGTTGTCGAATTCGACGCTAAACTCCTAACGCCTATCGTTAAGAATTTGTCCGCCATCGAGAACTACAACACTAGCATGCAGCTGCCGCACACCTTCTCGCTCTCTTCTATTCTCTCTGGCCTGGACACGGAACGCTTCTACACGTACAAGGGCTCCCTGACCACCCCACCCTGCGCGGAGGCCGTCACATGGGTCATCTTCTCCGACTACTTACCGATCTCCGTGTTCCAGGTAAATTTTATAAAAATTATTTCATCACGTATAAAGATAACGTTACAACCGATACTCATGTTATTTGTACAGTTATAATATATTAAAGCTTTTTTCGAGCTATACGCCTAACAAATTTTACGCCCGTAATAGTGACCGGCACACGAATATCAATATTCTCAATGGGATTCTACGCAAAAAATTTAGAATAAAATACATTTCATATTTTACGAATATATTGCAACATAGTTTCATATGCACCCATTTCTACACCAGTTATCTCGAGAGTCGAGACTAATTGTTTATTGTCTATGAATAACAGCTCAATTCCATTTAACTACGTTGAATTATTACCAAAATTTGTTATGTAAAAATGATATATTATATACGTCCGTTGTGTTCACGGTAATACACGTATCTTCAAATGCATAGTATTATGCATGGTTTCAAAAATTGCAGCAAAATTGTGTATTTTTTTTCCTAATTAAAATTTTTTTTCTATTTCTAAATTGTACAAAACGAAACAATTATCTGTAGATCATACAAATAGTTGTTCTGGAATTAAACCCAGGACTTCCGACGTCGAAGCCAAATTAGCCGTGGCGTCATCATTATTAATATATACTCGCATCATATATTTACGAAAATCAATTGGTTCTTTATTTTTACGGGCGAATCACGTATAACAATTTGACCAAAGTTTGTCTCATACTAAAACTTAAACAAATAGATTTTATATATGTACTTATATATTGAATAATACTTAAAATATTATAAAATAATACGATAATATTATATCCCTTTTAGATGGACAATTTCCGTGGGCTGCTTTCCAACCTGAATCTGCCACTTGTTGACAACTTCCGGCAGTTGCAACCGCTATTTGGTCGGAGAGTTTTCGTTCGAATTACGTCTAAAAATCCCAAATTCAAGAAGACGAAGTTACATTACTCAAAATGGGACTGGGTAGGACACAAAAAGGCGGAAAACGACGTTGCAGAATTCGATGACTAAATAGCCATTTCACAATGACAATACGAAAGATTAAGGGTTCAAAATGGAATAAATAGGAGAAAAAATTTACCACATTTTTTTCTCTTCCGTTTCAATATCGTAAGGGTAAAATAGTGTTGTTTTAGGGTTTATAGCAAAAAATTGTAAAGAATGATCTTTTTCCACGTTTTTGTTTTCCATTTATACTACGGGTAATCAACACAAATACCAAATATTGGGTAAATGTTATTGTTTATAGTCTATGTTAAATAAATGTATTTCTATGCACAGTAACACTACATGTTTGTGCAAATAGTATTATTATGTATAAGTTGTTAATAATATTTGTAAATAAAGTGATTAAAATTTTACTTGGTAATTTTATTTAAAGTAAATATATAATATATGCGGTTACATTATATTTTATGCGATAAATAATAAATACAGCGCTACAAAAATAAATTTAATATTAACAGTTAATTATGTGCTGTAGTTATCAGCTCCAAACATCGACTGAAAACAAAAATAGAACGAGTTAATAACTTTAATGTATCTACTAATGCAAAATTAACAAAATGACCTACCTCATTGGTACATAATACAGTATGTAAGCTATATATAGCACACCACACTAAAAAACAACGCACACACTTTTAATAACATGCAAAACATTCACATGTTGTCTTAGAACTAGGAATGAAATAAAACGCAAATTGATGTGATATACTATAATACAGTTTCAACAACTCTATACAAGATTTAAATAAGTATTCTTTATTCTCAATATTACATATTTCAATAATCATTTATATTTCATTATCAACTATATTATTGGCTCTATAAAAGTAATGCCGGTTATAACAGATGGAAAAATAATATTTAATTTATATTTGGAATGTGTTATAATCAAACTTCAAACAATTTAGTTTAAAAATTGCACACAGAAACAGACTTATGGAATCCAGGAACAGATTAAATATTAGGTGTTAGTTAATTTCTTCTTTTTGGCTGGGGCATATTTACATGTGCCAGTCTGTTGAACAAGGTACAGGTAAAGAACCATGCAATAAATTATTTTTAGCGTACCAAATCATCTGGATTGAACATGCCCTGAAAAAGAAATAAAAGGTTTTATATCACATTTGTTGACAATCTAAAGTACTTATATAAAAGAATTATACAGGGTGGCTTTTCTAAAGGTGCCCAAATTCACACAGGAGTTTCAGACTCGGTAGTATAATTGTTTATTGAAATGAAAACAGAACTTGTTGACAATGCGATAGTCATTCATAAATGCGTCATATACTTTTGAAACGAGCTTGTGTGCCTGTTAGTTATGAATGATCGCGCGTAAAATAAATGAGTTGCCCATAAATCATGCACCTTTTGAGATAAGTTCAAATGAATTTATTTACTTAATTACAAGTGATTTTATATATTTATCATGTTTTATAGAACATTATTGATATCTAGAATTTAATTTAAAAACATTAATACACTTAAAAAAGCCTCCCTGTATTATGATGATATCAATGTATGATAACAAACCGTATGGTAAAAATTTTATACGTATTTTATTTTAATATTTTGGGAAAACTCAAAATTAATTAAGTTTTCACAATTAAAAAATTGGTTATGGCATTACAAGTTCAGAAGAGAAGTGTTAAAAAAAAAGACATAAAGTACTAAACTTAGTTTTTGTATAAAATTAAAAAGTGATTTATATATAACAAAAGAAATAAGAAACTCCTCACTGTTTTTTAAAGTACCAACATAGTAATAGGGATGTCTCATTGTATAAATGGCAAAACATCACCAGGTTAGAGTTCTGAGATATATAAGAAGAGATATTAGAAACATTTGTTAACGTTATAGAAGTTGTTGTTTAATTTAGATATTAAGGAGTCAAGCTTGCAATTTCTATTTTTAATTGAATGGTGTTCAATGATCATTGATTGATAGATCTATTAAATACACATATTCCGTATTTTTGTACTTTTATTGCTTTTGGTACCAGACTGAATTCAGGTTTTATAAACAATACCCCAACTTCTGGATCATGCTATTAAATATAGCATATTTATAATAATATTATAAAAATGTGCATTAATTTTTATGTAATGTGACATTATAATTATAACAATACATTTAAAACTTAGATATTATAATATTTAGTATATTAGGTATATAACAATTTCATTAAATGAGATAATTGTCACATTTTATGTAAATAATGAAATAAAATTTATAATATTCTTTAATGTGACCAAGGAAATAACAAGATGAAACTAGGAAATCATTGCAATAATTTAACTGTATCTGTACTTTAAAATCTGTATGTAAGGTTTCTTGACTTTATTTTTTTCAGTTACAGGTTTTTTTAATCACATAAAGCATTTCCTTTAAATTACCGAAAAATGGGGCATACCTTAGCGCGACGTAAGATTGAATCCTTGCTGGCGTCATAAGGATGGTCCTTGGAGGGTATTTCGAGGATGGAAGGCACAGGTGAGGTGTGCGCATCAATGACATGGCGGATCAACTCGGCAATATTCTGATTGATCAGGATGATGTCAATGTCATCACGTTTCACAAATCTCTTGAAGCAGTCTTCAATTTCACTCACAGGTGTATCTATAAAAATAACATTTAGTTTCTTAGAAGAGTGCAGTAATGTATTTGAGCAAGGAACTCTTTTAATCTACAATAGAACAGTTGATGCAGTTGACAGATGAAGCAAAGGACAGAACAAGCTCTGCTAATAGGAAGTAATATCAAACTTGCATTACATTTTTTTAGTCTAAAATGTTACAGGATGAGCTTGGCTCTCACAGAAATACGAGACAGTTATTTTTCAACATACATACTCCAGAAAATGAAAAACTCATTGAAAATAGTTAGGAAGAAATGTTATGATTATATATTAGGTATACTATGCCCATTTCAAGTGTGTGTGAAGCTCAAAGTTATTCCTTCAAAAGCTGACTGTAAAGTATTTGATCTTGATATTAAACTTTAAATAAAATTGTTTATATATATTTGGTATTAAGTCAAAGGTAATCAAAAGATGAATTATTATATATATTTGTATGTAGAATAGTAGAAATTAGCGCGAAAAAAAGTGGAAGAAAGGTTTTAGTGTCGGCCTTATATTGGCCCTCATAATGTAGGACGACACTCCACTAGATGGAGTTCAGACCTGTGCATCAACCTAGTTCAGGGGTGGATTCAAGTTCGCTGAAATAATGATGATGATGTCGAAGCAAAAGCTAAACAAAATAACTTACTCTTGTCCACTACCATGAAATTTGGGTGTCTGTTTTTATTGATTTCACCGATACCGCCCAGGAGAAATCCGACGCAGGTGTCCTGTAATAGAAATTATAATATAAATTTGAACAATGTATTGTTTGGCAATTAATAAAGGTATAAAAGAACATTGTCCCTAAACAATTGATAATTTTTGATTTACATATTAGACGAATGTTTCATAATGCTAAGAATATCAACACCATACGTATTAATTACCTCATCTCCAATAACGCTGATTAATTTACCCTTAACTGCTGCCTGCAAAGCCATTTTAGATGTTTTTTTAGATTATTTTATGGATTAACAATAACTGTCACAAGCACTCATCACCTGACTACAATTTAATTTTATAATGTTGTTCACATTGATTATTTGTTGTCATTTGTAAATTGTCTATGGTCTATACTAAGGTACAAAAGCAAAATCCAAAAAAAAAATTGTAAAAATATGGCTAATAATTTCAAGATATTTACCTAATGAGATAAAGAAAATTAGTTGTAATTAAAGTGTCACTCTTGTAATAACTACACTAAATTCATTGTTACAGGCGCAATCAGTAGCGCAATCGATTGATATAATTCTATTCGTTTTATTGATTTTTAAGTTATATCCTAAATAGATGTTAGATGCATATTTGCTGTCCCCTACCCGTTTCACTGGGTTTAAATTTTTAAGTCAAAAAATATAGGTTCCGGATAAATAGTCACCACACAATATATCATATACATGCGTTAGCATCTCTACCATAATACCTATCTGTGTCATATACTAAAACCGAAACACGTTAAATCATATGGTTTATTTATGTTTAATTCCGATCAGTTCTGTAGTTTTGGCAGTATAACTGAACAAAAAAACGTCTATCCATTTATTATTATAGATCACTGTTTCCCAAAGTAGGGCCCACGCATTCACAGGGGGGAAATTTGATTTTGAAGGGGGGTAATTCAAAAATGGATTCGACGAATTAAAAGTAATAACCAAAAAAGTTTTCGTATCGTTTTGTTAAAATAAAAGAAATTTGTTAATATGAAATAAATCAATTAAATTCTAATGCTAATATTTTATATTAACTTTTCTCGCCTGCAAAATTATTACCGGTGTGGCTACAAAATACAACATCAAAACCCAATGTCAAGTCAAGACTCGCTCACAATGTCAATTTGTCATTTGTCAATTGCTATTTGCTACAACATCCATGTTTTTGTTTCGAATTCCATTTTGTTTATATAGAGTTCTTTAATTATTTGTGTGTTGTAATGATTTAGAAGGATTTAAAGTATAAGTACTATAATTCTGTTTACCGTGTAAATGTATATAAAATGCTAAACATACAAAATTATGGCAGCAGTTCGGAAGATGAATCTGATGACAATTCGGATGATAGAAAACAAAATAGTAATGAGACATTATTGACTCATTTAAAACCTGTTGATCCCAACCTATCCTTAGCGAGGAAAATGGAAATATGTGCTGCTCCCATTGTGACACCCACGGTAACTTTTTACATTGAGATTGTTCCTTTAATACTTTGGATTTTTTCAAAAAACTGGGGTATAATTCTGGAAGGGATGTTATTGTTCCAATGTTTATATCTACTTTTTTACAGAATAACGACGACACTAGAGTGTTAATTCGAAACAATCAAGAGCTTATGCACAACCCGAAATATGAAGAATTGTTTGCTCCAGAATATGGCCCAGAGAATCCATTTCAAACACAGCAGATGAAAGCTAATAGGAATATGTTGTCGGGGTACGTTGAGAAAGCACATATCAGTGAATTTCAATTCGAAAACCAAAGACGTACATTTACAAGTTATGGTTATGCTGTTGATCCATCAACAGATGGCGATACTGGAAGTGGAGATGCGATTGTGGGTAAGTTTTCGATAGTATTCAACCACTATTATATTTATTCACTCAAGAATTGAAGCCAGCTGCAAACAAAACAAGTATGGAAGTATATTAAATTCTTGCCCCCTAATGACCATCGCTTTCAATCATACTTTCTCAATATTATTCAGGGAGTTTTCACAGTAAGACATAGATTTAAATAACAGATATATTAAAATAAAACCCAGTTATTTGTATTGTGTTGTAATATTAATGTAAGAATTATTAGCGTAGCCAAAGATTAATACAGTTAACAGATGTCTGTGTCATAATCTGTAACTAACTGCTCTCCTTATGCCATTAGATTATCCTATATGTTTTAAAACCTTGGCAAAATCTTGCTGTTGTTACTAGGTCCAATTAAATATTTAAGATTTATCAGATCAATTTGTACTTTATTTAAAATAAATTTTTCATATGACTATTGCTCATTGATATCCAATGATTTGGATATGGAATGATATGGACAACAATAAATAATTAGTATTAATACACTTTACACTTGGCTTATAGTTTCAGCAATGGTGGCACCCCCAGCAGAAACTGAGGGTAAGACAGTGTTTGAAACTGTTAAAAAAAGACCATTGGACAATCGGAAAAGGAGCAAAAATGATGACCCTGGGGACATAAATGGATTTCTTGGACCTTGGGGTGGCTACATAGGAGAGCAAAGGTTTGTTTCACATTTCTTAACAAAAAAAACACTGCATTGGTTATTAATGACCCAAATATGCACAAGTGAGAATGGGGCCACATTATACACCTCCAATTTGATCTAGATTGTGTCAAGCACTTCAGGATCCCTTATTTATTTTCTAGGTGTATTGCATTATACATTTTTTGTATTATGTTGTATTTGTTATTATTATAAACATAAAAATATGTATGCTTTATTTAAAAATTAATATTTGTAATATTGTTAATATTTTCATATAACTATGTAGAGTAATGAAGCCAGAAGGTGACGAAGCAAAAGAACTGCAAGAGATATTAGCTAAAAGACAGAAAAAGGGCAAAGTGGATGATGACAAACCTTTGGAGGAGAAATCTATATTCCATTGTGAGTTTTTTTTTCTTATATATGCATTGAAGTTTGGAAAAGTTGTAAAATGTATTTAATAGAATGGCATTTTGCTACGTAAAATGTGTTCTTTCATTATAAGGTGACAGAATTCACTCTCAATTAAATAAAATTTAATTAAAGTTCAAGAAGAGAATGTTGAATATTGAACATATTATACCATACACTTAAAAAAGATGTCTATACAGAAAACTTATTCATTAACATAGGTATCGTTTTATTTTGCCTTTTTTCATTAATTTATTGTTTATGCTTTCAGTGGATCAGGCTACAGATTATCAAGGCCGCTCATGGCTTGAGCCTCCAAGAAGCGAAACACAGTTGCGAAGTGACACTCCACCGGATAAATGCTTCCTGCCTAAGGTAATAAACAATTCATTTCTTCATCTGCATTCAGAATTAACTAAAGTTACTAAATTATACTATAGCAATGTGATCTGGCGTTGTTTATAATGAGTTTGTTGGAAAAATGTTCCAACCCAATGTTTCCGTGAATGTTTGATGCATTGTACGTGTCACAGAAGATGAGCGTATTGTGGAAGTATAATATTTTCACGTTCCGTCTGTTGAGTGAGGTAACCGGGGCCCACTTTATTTAAAATTTGTCAGCGTATCTGCAAGCGTTCAAGTGTTGTAGATGTCCACAGGCGGTAATCGCTGAACATCAGGTGAACTGCCAGTTTGCTTGAAAACTTTTCACTTAAAAAAAATTATTTGAGAAAACTTGATGGTTGTGCTTCACGGTCAAAATCTTCACATGGGATTTATCTATGATGTAATGTGCATGATGTAAATACTAGAAACAAACATAAATTTAATTAATTCTACTCACAACTAGATTGTGTAGAATAAGTAATTCTTTTATGGGACAATGTATAAGTTTTATCATCAAAATCCCAGAAAACATTCACAATGTATCAATTGATAAATCTGAAAAAATGTAAGGGAACATTTATGTGTTAAAGTCTATTGTAATATTAGTGATTATTAAAATAGTAACACACCCTGGAAATGAATTGTTCTCTCCAGGCTCTTTCAAGTGGACTTTAGTAAATATGTTTCTTTGTCAAATGGTAAATTAAATATCTCCTGCTGACTTTCTTTTAGCTGGTTCCTCCCAGGTCAGTGGCATTTCCATTTTGAAAGTCATTAAGTAAGTGTAATGCTTTTATATTGAACAAAGATATTTGAGTTTGAATTTGGTGAGTGATGATTTGTCAATGGCGATACACTGTTTTCCAATTTTTTAAATTTAAATACAATCTTTAGAAATTTACACCTAAAAAAAACGCATTCTATACATAGTCATCACAGCGTACATAGTGAAACATAATTCAGCATTAGATGATGAACGATCGGTGATGTGATTGTCTCCAGGCGCACGTGCATACGTGGAAGGGGCACACGAAGGGCGTGGCGGCGGTGCGTTGGTTCCCCGCCACGGCGCACCTGATGCTGTCAGCCGGCATGGACTGCAGGGTCAAGGTACCAGCTCTGCACCTCACCGGCTCTACCATTCCTATATGTCCCGTTGGACAAAGACCTCTGTTTAAGTGATAAGGGTTGTTCCTACTATGGCTCCACTTAAGCGATAATAACAAGTGGGCGTTTGGCGGTGTTGCCAACTGCAACGTAACAAATGTCATCAATGTAGATATCAAAATGCTCAGGAATCCCCATCTGATCTGTTAATGTTTATATGCAAGCTCACGACCGCACTCCTGAACGGATTTTGATTAAATCCTCTTAGATCAGTTTTCTGCCACATACTGTCAGAAAAGATGAGTTTTATTATATACTGTGATGGCACATGACATGCCACAGAGCTTCAGCTGTTGCACAAATGGGCAGGCAGTGTCACGGTGCTACGGTAAGCTTGCATGATGAAACACTTCCAATACTACACTTTTATGTTTAGTTATTACTAGCGACCCGCCCCGGCTTCGCACGGGTGCAATGTGTTATACATATAAACCTTCCTCTTGTATCACTCTATCTAGTATCAAAAAACCTGCATCAAGATCCGTTGCGTAGTTTTAAAGATCTAAGCATACATAGGGACAGACAGACAGCGGGACGACCTTGTTTTATACTATGTAGTGAAATCCTCAACAAATATCGGTCAGCTTATATCTTATAAGTAAATCATTCATCACATTTTACGGTGGTAGGGCCACGCAGCAGCCTCGGCTGTTGCACGAATGGGCAAGCCCGTCCGGGTAAGTACCACGACCTCACAGAAGACCAGCGTAAAGTGGAAGTATGAGAAATACTTTCGCGTTTCGTCTGGTGAGTGAGGTAGCCGGAGCCCAGTTTTCAAAAGGTTGTCAACGCATCTGTAACCCTCGGGAGTGGCAGATGTCCATGGGTGGCGGTATTCACTTATCATCAGGTGAACCGTCTGCTCGTTTGACAACTTTTCGCATAAAAAAAAAAAAAACATAAATTATAAAATAACATTTAAATTAAATTTTCTTAAAGAAAATTTGTTTCGATGTCCGCACGTAGGTTTGGCATTTTATCTCGTATAAAGCATGCGGTTAATTTGGTTGAGTATTATCACCTTCTCTCGTAATAGATGCGATTACGGCTCTTTCCAGATCTGGGAGGTGTACGGCGACCGGCGCTGCGTGCGGACGTACTTCGGCCACCGGCAGGCCGTCAGGGACGTCAACTTCAACAACGCGGGCGACAGGTTCCTCTCCGCCGGTAAGCACTTTGAACGGCGAACGAGTGAAACGTATAATGTGTGTCTCATATGAAACGCTTCTCACGTGGGGTATGGGGGGCATGTCTTTAGTAAGCTAAGTCATCGGTTCTAGCCCATCGCTACTCTTGAACGTAACAAAATCTAGAATAATTCAAAACACCAAAATCTTGACTTGTATTAAATATTTTAGTGTCAATGTGTCAAACACAACTGATGGTAAGCGTTAAATGTGGTCATGAGTGGTGAATGGTCCCGCTCGGAAAAAGCCTTCGATTCGCGGGTTCGATTCCCGCGCGCGCGTTTTTCTCCACGTGAAAATTGTATACCTCAAACGTCCCTACAACACAGGATAATGCTATCACACAGTAAGGACAACGTTTAATAAAATAAAGAGTGGCGCCTCCATTACACGTGTGCCGAGAGTCAATGTGGTGCAAACCGGTTCGAACAGGTCTTAACAACACAGGGTAATGCCATCCTACAGGCAACGTTCTCGAAGGGAAGGGAAGACTACAACAGACAATAGATCATTCTAGTTTCTCATGGACGTATGAAAATGTAAAAATGCGATCAAAGACACCATTGGTGTGTTCTGTGACCTTTCCAAGGCATTTGACTGCGTGGATCATAAAATTCTTGTTAGTAAATTGGAATATTATGGTATTCAAAAAGCTGTCATTGATTTTGTTTCCTCATATCTTAGCGATAGAGAACAAAATGTAACAATAAATGATATATTGTCATCGGGATAAATAGAACAAATGGGTGTTCCTTAGGGAACGATTCTGGTCCCATTTCTGTTTTTGGTCTACATAAATGATTTGCCATATTATGTGGTAGAAAAAAAAGGTATGAAATCATTTTGTTTGCGGATGACACTTGACAACTTTCTTGATAGATGTATTAACTTATATAGATCACTCCGTGGCGCAGTTGCCAAGGTATTGGCTTCGGCGTCGGGGGTCGTGGGTTCGATTCCCACACGGGACAACTATTTGTGTGACCCACAGATAGTTGTTTCGCATCTGGGTGTTTGTCCGCGTGAAATTTATGTTTGTAAAACGTCCCTACAATACAGTATAATGTTATACTAAAGTAAGGGCAATGTTTAAAAAAGAATATATATAATAAAATAGGTGACATTCAAAAACAATAAAGTGTAAATAATTTGAAAAATTTATGTAAAAGCCACCTTAATGGAAAGGGCCTATTATAATGTCGAGGAATACATTGAGGACAAGGTGATAGGTCGGTGTCCGGGCGCTCGCCGTTTAATGCAATATACTCGAGCAACCTGAGTTCGATCCCCGGTGCCGGCACCAATGAAGTTTTTAACTTGAAGTGCTGACTTATCACGTGCTCCGCGGTGAAGGAAAACATCGTGAGGAAACCTGCATAGTTTCGAATTAATAACAAAAAAAATATATTTCGAAGATATGTGAAGTCCGCCAATCCGCAGTGGGGCCGCGTGGTGGACTATGCCCTGATACCCTCTGTATAGAGGAGGCCTTTTCCCAGCAGTGGGACATGTATAGGCTGTTACTTTACTTTACTTTTATATACTTTAATACCCCCCCCCCCCCCCCCGCGCAGCGTACGACCGCTACATAAAGCTGTGGGACACGGAGACGGGCGCGTGCGTGTCGCGCTTCACGTCGCGCAAGGTGCCCTACTGCGCCAAGTTCCACCCCGACGCCGACAAGCAGCACCTCTTCGTGGCGGGCACCTCCGACAAGAAGATCGTCTGCGTGAGCATACCCCCCCCCCCCCCCCCCCCCCCCCCCCCCCCCCCCAAGTGCTAAATTGCCCTCTGTTCGCATAGCACTAAAGTCGACTTTCATGTAAACACCCCCTCATACCCATTCCGAATTGCCCTTTAAAACCTTATTCCTAAAGTCGATTTTCATGCTACCCCCAAGATCGCCTACGTGAGCACTATTTCATAGACATGCCGAATTGACCTTTGTTCACATAGGACTAAAGTCGACTTTCATGTAAACACCCTCTCATACCCATTCCGAATTGCCCTTTAAACCCTTATTCCTAAAGTCGACTTTCATGCTAACCCGTACAAAGTTGTGTTTTGTTTTTAGCACTTAAGGTAGCGTTAAGAGTTTCAAACCACTGACGCCTGGCCTCTAAACGAAAATGCCTATCATGTCTCTAACTTTAAAATTTCGACTTTCCCCGCGCAAGACAAAGTTGCATTTGTATAAGAGATTTTTTTTATTTTCGCTTTTAACACTTACCGCTGCCGCAAATGTTTTAAACTTCTGCGTTTGGCCTCTAAACGAAATGTATCTAAATTGTACAACTTTAAAATTAATTTTCCCCTTGCAATAAAAAGTTCCGAGCAAAGTAGAGTCCTTGTAATATTTTTTGTAGTCAATTCTCGTCTTTAACACTATTCACTACATTACTGTATGTAATAAAATGTTCCATAAAAAGTCGTGTCTTAGTGATATATATTTTTTACATCTATTTTTGTTTTTATTGATAAAGCAAATTAATTAAAAGGTGGCAGCTCATTTGCCACCTTACATAACATTAATGATGCCTTTTTTGCGTCTGACTTCGAAACAAAATTGCGTCTTTCGTAAATTAGTTTAAAGTCGCGCTATTTTTCAAACATGTAAGCAAATAAAAAAAAAAACCTTGGCGTTTGTTTTTTAATGCGTCATAAAATTGACTTTACTAGCATTTCAATGCATATCAAGCCTCATCGTTTTGCATTGTAAGAAAGACTTAGAGTTTTTTGTTTGGGCTCCTTTCGATCGTAGTAAAGTAACAGCCTATACATGTCCCACTGCTGGGCAAAGGCCTCCTCTATACAGAGGGTATCAGGGCATAGTCCACCACGCGGCCCCACTGCGGATTGGCGGACTTCACATATTTTCGAAATATATTTTTTTTTGTTATTATTTCGAAAATATGCAGGTTTCCTCACGATGTTTTCCTTCACCGCTGAGCACGTGATAAGTCAGCACTTAAAGTTAAAAACTTCGCCGGCACCGGGGATCGAACTCAGGTTGCTCGAGTATATTGAATTAAAGGCGAGCGCCCGGACACTGAGCTATCACGGCTCTGATGCTGGATGAGCCGGGCCCAATTTTCAAAAGGTTGTCAAAAGGTGATAATATATTTACTACCCGTCCGGTCACACACAATAAAAATCCAATTTCGCCGATTTTTGATGATTCTTCATATATTTTCCGCAATCTGGCTCGAGGGACCAACATGTTCGGTAATTCAAGGGATTTTTCAACGAAACTTAAAATTTGGGACTTCTCAAAAATGTGTATTGCCTCAATGACGAACAAAGGTGAACAGGGGAGACATGCAATTTGACAAATGAGACCTTACAGCTAATTAAAACTAATTACGCTATGCGTTTATTTGCCCATCGTAAACGAGCAGGCGTTGTGCTCGAACAACGGGTGTAGCAGATGTCCATGGGCGGCGGCATTCACTTAACATCATGCGAACCGCCTGCTCGCTCGCCAACTTGTCACATAGAAGAAAATGTGTTGGCCGCAGTGGGACATTCGGAGCGGTGAGGTGGTGCAGGAGTATGACCGACACCTGGGCGCGGTCAACACCATCACCTTCGTGGACGACAACAGGAGATTCGTCACCACTTCGGATGACAAGAGTCTTCGCGTCTGGGAATGGTAGGAACACCATCGACATTAAAATCGCGATCCGTGGTTTAAATTCTAAGATCCATGATTTCTAAATATTCATCCCATTTTTTGATATCGGGAGAATTCCTTCGGGTTTAAAATAACGGTGCAACGGTGGCAGGGCCACGCAGTAGCTTCGGCTGTTGCACAAACGGGCACGCCCGTCCGGTAAGTACCACGACCTCACAGAAGACCAGCGTAAAGTGGAAGACAAATACTTTCGCGTTTCGTCTGGTGAGTGAGGTAGCCGGAGCCCAATTTTCAAAAGGTTGTCAAAAGGTGATAATATATTTACTACCCGTCCGGTCACACACAATAAAAATCCAATTTCGCCGATTTTTGATGATTCTTCATATATTTTCCGCAATCTGGCTCGAGGGACCAACATGTTCGGTAATTCAAGGGATTTTTTCAACGAAACTTAAAATTTGGGACTTCTCAAAAATGTGTATTGCCTCAATGACGAACAAAGGTGAACAGGGGAGACATGCAATTTGACAAATGAGACCTTACAGCTAATTAAAACTAATTACGCTATGCGTTTATTTGCCCATCGTAAACGAGCAGGCGTTGTGCTCGAACAACGGGTGTAGCAGATGTCCATGGGCGGCGGCATTCACTTAACATCATGCGAACCGCCTGCTCGCTCGCCAACTTGTCACATAAAAAAAATGCGTTGGCCGCAGTGGGACATTCGGAGCGGCGAGGTGGTGCAGGAGTATGACCGCCACCTGGGCGCGGTCAACACCATCACCTTCGTGGATGACAACAGGAGATTCGTCACCACTTCGGATGACAAGAGTCTTCGCGTCTGGGAATGGTAGGAACACCATCGACATTGAAATCGCGATCCATGGTTTAAATTCTAAGATCCATGATTTCTAAATATTCATCCCATTTTTTGATATCGGGAGAATTCCTTCGGGTAAAATAACGGTGCAACGGTGGTAGGGCCACGCAGTAGCTTCGGCTGTTGCACGAATGGGCACGCCCGTCCGGGTAAGTACCACGACCTCACAGAAGACCAGCGTAAAGTGGAAGTATGACAAATACTTTCGCGTTTCGTCTGGTGAGTGAGGTAGCCGGAGCCCAATTTTCAAAAGGTTGTCAACGCATCTGTAACCCTCGGGTGTAGCAGATGTCCATGGGCGGCGGTATTCACTTACCATCAGGTGAACCGTCTGCTCGTTTGGCAACATTTCACATAAAAAAAAAATAACTTTTTGTGTTGTAAAATAACTTGTCAATTTACTATCGACTCGTAATCCGCATTGCAGTCATATCGACCCTGGAATGTAAACGACATAGTAGCTCACACTTATCTGTTTTTCTTTAGATTTGTGTATTTCTATATGCTTAACGGTGTTAAGACCTATCCAAACGGTGGGTTGGGAATGGCTATTTTCGATTGTAAACTATATAATTATACATATCTCATCGTGAACATAATGTAATATATCACGTATTATTGAGCGAGTTATTTGGAGACTGTAGTTTCCTAGAGCAAGACGTTGATGAGACTATGTTTCGTCTACAAAAAGTAAAAAAAAATTCACGGGGCAAAGTGTGCGCATGTATAATAAAATCCCACAGTCAAGTCCGCCACTTGATCAATTTAAATGCAAAATTAAAATAAACCTATGGCTAAAGCATATTATACCATGACGGAATATTTTGACGATGCCATTGTGTGGAGGTAGTACTGTTTATATTCACCTAGGATAAAATAAGACTGTCATACCGTTACCATTATATTACAGTAAACGGATCTTTTTAGAATAAGAGCAACTGCTGAGTTTCTGGCCGGTTTTGTCTCAACAGAAACTGCTTTCCGAACCGTTGGTAACTTACGAACGTATTAATTTCTATGTGAAATTTCGACGTTTTCAAAAGAACGCGCAAGGGTCTATGCGAATAAAGATATTTTGAATTTGAAGTGGAGTGAGTTGAGGAGGCGCACACTTCCTCTGTTTGAAGTAGAAGAGTGGGTTGAGGAGATGGACAAAAGGAAGATGGTGCAGCTAGCGTTCCCGTTGCAGGGACATCCCCGTGGACATGAAGTACATAGCGGACCCGTCGATGCACTCGCTGCCGGCCGTGAGCCTGGCCCCCAACGGCAAGTGGCTGGCCTGCCAGTCCATGGACAACAAGGTGATCGTGTTCAGCGCGCTCAACCGCTTCAAGATGAACCGCAAGAAGACCTTCACCGGCCACATGGTGGCCGGCTACGCCTGCGCGGTCGACTTCTCGCCGGACATGAGGTGGGTCTACGCACACTCTCTTTTACACTCTCCGATCTATTGCTCTATCTACATTATCATCTATATCTGTCTACATTGTCTGATCTCTTTGTTATCCAGTATATTTTTTGTTTTTGCTTGTTTTATCGTGTCTTCTATCTACACGAGAACTCGTTCATCGTCTGATTAGGGTTCTTGCTTGTCTAGTGTCGTTCTCTTTGCTGTTTTATCGTGTCCATTACGGCACTCGGTTGTCTATTTCTCTTTCTTTGGTTTCCTTTTCAAGTCATCACACTCTGTATCTCCTTCATTGTCCGATCAGAGCTCTTGGTCAACTATTTCTCTTCCTTTCACGGGTTCAAACTCAATCTCTCCTTCATTGTCAGATAGGACTTTTCGTTAACTATTTCTCTTTCTTTTCTTCCGTTCACGCTGTCTCATTCGCAGTAAGTTAAGGCTCCTGTTTATCTATTCTTCTTTCTTCTCTTTCTTTCTCGGTGTTCACGCTCTGCCTGTCATTCGCTGTCTAATCAGGGCTCTTGGCTATCTAGTGTATTTTGCTTTGCTATCTTTCTCTCACCCATTTATGACTAGACAGCTATGTGACAAAAGAACGTTAATCGTTCCATTATACTAATGATATGTTAAAATGAATTAAGTGTTATAGGATTAGGCCAAATATGCAACAACCATGTTCTGTTAACGAATAAATCGTGTTGGATAGCAGTCATCTAAAATTAACGCTTTCTTATGAAGGGCTCTTGAAAATAGGAAGGTATTCCTTATACTGATTAAGTGATTATACACTGCAGAAGTGTGTCAAAGTAGGTATGAGTGAAAATAATTTATCGATCATATTGGGGGAATAAAACCAGTAACTTTCTTGTATTTGCGTCTAGATATGGATGTGAAAGAGACTAATTACTTCAGCAATAATAGAGACAATAATAAATCCGTGACGTTAGTCTTACTCCACTGGAGAGTTACACTAGATGAAACCGGATTGACGTCATTGGATTTAAAAATAATACGAATTACAATGTTTTTAAATATCATCATTACGAGCGGATCTTTATAAACATTCGTTATCTATACCCCATTATATAATGATTGCGCATTTTATGTCATTGTGACGTTTCCTTTGCTAAATATCGAAAGATATATAAAAAATATTATATGAAAGAATAAATTTTACAATGAACTTGTAATGATGAATAGGCTGTATGGAGAAATCCCAAGCCGTTAAATATAGGTTAATTAAAAAATGTCGAAAGAAGTCACTTCATATTAGATAAACCATAAATAAATTGTCTTTTATAAAAAAGTCTGCTTATCACGATTACGTACCAAGACAATATACAGCGTGTCGTTACCATCGCGACAATAAATGAACACACGTCTAACGCTACTTGCCCATAATCATAAAAAAATATTAACGTTAAACAAAATCCATAATTAAAAAAAAAAATATTTTTCAAACAAACGAATTAAGTAAAAAAGAAACAAAATTTGTAACATCCTATACAACTCGCGCCACAGCGTCGCATTACAAGCCTCTCCTTCTAACAGTATGTTTTGTTTTTTTTAAATTCATTCAACCCATTCATATGCTTTGTGACCTTTACAAATGAACTTTACGTTACGCTTTTATAGGTAAGGATGTTCTAAAATTCTTTGTTTTGGAAATTTTTATAACTCTGTAAATATTGATGTTTAAAGAATTTAAATGTTTAATACAACTTTAAAAAGTTATCCCCTATATGTGTGTTCATTTATTGTCGCGATGGTAACGACACACTGTATAGCTACAATTTTTCAGTAATGAAAAAGTGATTTGAGTAATGAACGATTTCATAATTTCAAAACATACTGTAGTGGTTTTTAACAATACATGCAGATAAAGGGTTGAGTATTTGATATCTTATCCTTTAAACGAGCAAATCTTGTGTATATATATATATAAATCGATCGAAAAATCGATCTAGCTAGGTTTCATTTTTAGAAAATGTCCTTTTATCCCCGTTTTCAGGGAATGAAAAATATAATTCGAATATGACGGTAAATTTCGCCGCAAGAGAAAATGTCATAATAGCTCGGTCGGTAATCGGGCGGCCCCAAAACAAACGGCCGTGGTTCGTATCACGATCATTTACACACTCTTTTTTTACTTTTTTTCAATTCCAGATCATTGCTTTCTTTATTTTTTATTTTTTGTTGACCCAGATGATTCTGTTATTTTTTCCCTTTTTTTAAAATTGTTTCTTTTGTGAAAAACACCCTTTAATATTTTTTTATTATTAGGTCGGTAAGATCGAAAAATATTATGCATATTTCATTACTCAGTAATTTGTATATAAATGTAATTTCCAAAATACACGATTTACCAAAAATAAAACAAAACGAGCAAAGCTCGGTCCTCCAGGTACTGTAACTTTAATGGAGGATCGGAAATGCAGTTGACATTACGTACTGCAGCTTTTTGATGAGACTAAGGATTTGACGATCCTAATCACCACACCAGAGTCGTTTATAACTTAATTTTCATAAAATATGTATATAAATATGATTAAAAAATGACACCGACGAACAACTTTTTATATACACTATTAACTTGCCTTTGGTTTTTAACTGTTTCTTGACTTTTTACCCGTTCCCAACTGTGTGACTGTCGATTTATTCGCCCGAAGAAATGCCAAGTCATTACGGTAGATAGGTTTTAATCGAACAATTTTATTAGTATCGCCATTGTGTTCGAAATTAGATCAATTGTGATCATATAATTTGGCGAAATTGAATTTTTTGTACGTAACATTTTCCCGTTTGGAGCAAACGAAAGGGTTGCGTAGAGCCATGATTGGGATTTATAATATTATTTATCCTTTTTGTATAAAAAACAATTTTATGCTTACTTAGTTATGAGGGGAAAACTTTATATTGGTTGTAGGGTATGAAGCTGATAATTCTTCTTCATTGCGCATCAAGATTTTCAATGATTTGAAACTCCGTTGTGCAGGATCTATTTAAGCAAAGATTTCTTGATTGCGCAAGTTCAATAATCAATTAATTAAAAAAAAAAAACGCCCAAGTGAGAGTCGGATTCGCCCCACGAAGGGTTCCGTACCATTATTTAGTATTTTTGTTGTTATAGCGGCAACAGAAATACATCATTTGTGAACATTTCAACTGTCTTACTATCACGGTTCATGAGATACAGCCTGGTGACAGACGGACTGGCAGACAGACAGACAGCGGAGTCTTAGTAATTCGGTCGCGTTTTACTCTTTGTTTACGGAACCCTAAAAAAAGGTGACTCTGCGACGAGAGACTGAGATGTACGATTTTCCTCCGATCGATGTATGGGAATGATTGTAACGTTATGTTTTGTTATTAAAATTTAGCTCGTAGGTATAACTGACGTCATGAGGAAGAGAGATTGTGGATAATGACGTAAGTGCAACATAACATAAAGAAGAACGTTGCGTTTTGTAAGCATGTACAGTGGACATAACAGAACGAACCGATTGGCGTAGTGAGTAGTGCCCTATTGCGCCAGAGAGTGTGGGTTCGATCCCCACTAGTGGAGAATGTTGTGTGATGATCATTGTGTTTTACCAGTGTCTGGATTTTTATATATTTATAATGTATTTATTTGAAAAAGAAAAGTATGTTTACGTTCATCAGCTATCTAGTACCCACAGAACAAGCGTTGCTTAATTTGGGACCAGAGAACGTTCTGTAGAAATGTGTCCTAAATATTTCTTTATTTTCTTTATTTTAATATTTCTTTATTTGCTTTCCGAACCGGTGGTAACTTACGAACATATTAATTTCATTGTAAAATTTCGACGTTTCTTAAGAACGCGCAAACGTCTATGTGAACAAAGATATTTTATTATTATTTATTATTTTTATTTATTTAGTCTGTAGTGGATTATGTTAACACTGCACGGTTAGAGTATATATTTATTAATACTTCAATAACGCACACTGTGATGATCTTAATCGTATATTAATAGGCAATGGCATAATGCAGCGTTTTTTTCGACTCATCTAAAGATTTCGCGATTTCGATCATATAAACGGCGTTGGCGATTTTTCAGTAAATGATAATGATAATGTAGCTTTGCATAACTGAATACTTTTTTTTAGAATTGGTTTTGTAGTTTCAACCATAAGACGCTTAATTGAAAAAAAAAAATGAAAAAAAAAGCAGCCCATAACATGTCACACTGCTGGGCAAAGGCCTCCTTTGTACAGAGGGTATCAGGGCGTAGTCCACCACCCGCCACTGACGGATTACTGGCGGATTAGTGGACTTCACATATCTTCGAAATTTTTTTTTTGCTATTATTTCAAAAACATGCAGGCATATATTTCCTCACGATGTTTTCCTTCACCGCCGAGCACTTGATAATTCAGCACTTAAAATTAACAAATTCATTGGTGCCGGCACCGGGGATCGAACTCAGGTTGCTCGAGTATAATGAATTAAAGGCGAGCGCCTGGACACTGAGCTATCGCGGCTGTTCTTTCTGTTTTATAGATTCCTCATTGTTGAGAAACATCCTATTTATTGAGAAACTAGTCCAGTGTTTGGTAAAATCAACATCATAAAATGTTGATAGAAACTTTCGACTGTGCGTTGATCTTTTATCTTTATTTAGTTAGTGCCTTTTATAATTTATTTCGGATTCCAGAAACTCGTGATCGAATGCATGTGATAATAAGTTAATAAGTCTTAATACACATAGTTTCGTTTGCTCGTCGTCATGCATCGTCCGTTATCTGGTAAAAGGTGTGTTTAGACCAAAGTTGCTACGCGTGTTCACACGTTTTCTTTATCTCTGACATACTGAGAGACATAGGGATTTCTGTGACTCCATATCGTAATCCAACACAGAAATATATCTTTTAAAAAAAAATCTACTGTACGTGCATAATATGAATGAATACATTAATGATAATACCACCTGGGAACTAGTTGATCGCTCCCGAGCTATTTCTAAAAGAAAAAAAAGGTT